TTTTTCTTACGAAATTATTTAATTAAAATAATTTATTTATTTATTTTAGTCTTATTTTATTAAATTTTTGAGGAAAAAAAAAGAATTAGGGACGAGATTGAAAATAATTTTAGAAAAAATGGTGAAAATTTAGTTCGGGGGTCTTTTTGAAAAAAAAATTAGAAACAAGGGGTTAAAGTGTAAAAATAAAAAATTTAGCCATGTTGGACGACCTAGTCAGCAGCCCTGACGAATCAGAGCATGCATTGTGTCGAAACACGCTGATGTCAGAGCAACGCAGGACACCATGCGGGTGATCTATGTGCCCAGCGATCTAACGACCTAAGTTTGATCCCGCGCGCGTGAACGGTTCAGATTCATTCCATCTTTAGATATGATCAAACGGACAAGATCAATCGTGATGAATGGCTCATATCGACGCATGATGGGTATAAATACCTCGCGTTATAAGGGAACCCAAATTCTAGCCGCCAGCCCTCACCAGATAAGAAGGTTGACCGCTGACTGGCGCCGCACCGAAGCCATCGCCAACCGTCAAAAAAGATAAAAAAAATTCATACACACTCGAAATTTGATTATGAGCATCCTTGTTTCCATATCGGAGCAAGAGGGACGGCGGGTAAGTAAAAAATTATGGACAAAGTCCGACGGAGTTGCCATAGCTAAAACAAAAAAATCCTTCCGATGAACCCTTTTTTGCTTCCCGTTTCACGCTATTTCTTGATCATTTTGTTCACCGTCTTTTTCTGTGTAGGTTAGTAAAAGAAGGAGCCCCAGCCGTGAAGGAGAACCGGTGGAGCCACCGCACTTGGAGGCCCCCTGCTGGTAGGTTCGATTTTTTATGATTTTTCGGCTAACCGAAGTCCTCTAACTTATTTTCCTACAAAGATACATTTAAAACCAGCCAAAATCGGGTAAAACTGGCTAAGCCGAGGCAAACTATCACTATCGGCGGCGGCGCTGTATCGGAACTCCAAAATTGCCAAAGAGAGTTTTGGACAATTTTGGATTTTTGAGATATTTTTAGATACATGGCGAGTGTTTTGAATTTCGCAAAAAAAAATTCAGAAAACTCAGCACCTGTTAGGAGGCATAGTAGACAACGTGACGTCTCGAAATACCAATTCAGGTAAGGATCCCTCACTCTATTCTCCGTTACGATAAATTAAGGCTTAATGATGTATAATTTTTGTATTTTTATAAAAAGTTAGAAAATTATAAAAATAATTACAAGTCACTAGTAGAGCCGAAACTACTTAGTTCACAATTGTTCTGATTTCTTATTTATTTTTCTGTACTATCTTACTTGTTTGTTATCTTATTGTGCATGTTCTTAATTTATAGTTTTAATTGTCTTATTGATTTATCTGGTTTATTCGATTATCTGATTACTCAATCCCTTGTTATGATAAACTATATCGTCTACAAAAATGTCGTTTAACTAATATATAAATATAATATAAGATATTGGTATGCGTTTGTTGGTTATTTTGTTGATGTGAATCTTTATATAAAAGACTTACTAGGTACCCAAGAAAAAAGGGCAAATGAGCCCATTACATAGGGAAACCTACCGTGAACGTTACATCAGTCGAACGGGGCTGGAAAGTCCCTTACTATAAAGGTTTAACAGATATGGTTCACCCTCATACCGAACCGGGTATCGAAGCAATAAAGTATTTGGTGCTCATTACCGAATGGGGTATGGGGACGGCCGATTAATTTTGAAAATTAGATATTAGGTTTATGAGTAGGAAGACATCCCTATGGACCCATAAGGGTACCAGAAAGCAAGTAAGAACGAAAAATTATTGTCTCTTATTCTTTTATGTGTGAAAATAAAAAGTAGTATGGATATGAGTGTTTATCAGTTTTTAAAAAAAAACTCGTAACGGTAAGTATCAAATAAGTATCTTTAAGTTAAATGTATTTGATTAAAGCAATGGTTCCATTAATTATTTTTCTAATTTCTACAAATCTTTAATTTTCTGTATCCATAATTAATGTAATATTTTTACTGGACTAATGTAACTCAACATTTCATTAACCATTTCAGATCAAGAAGACAAAGATCAAGATCCTGATCAGTAAAAGGGTTGTGAATAGTTCATAACTCGGACTCCCTTCAAATGCTAGTGAAGATTGTTCTAACATACTTATTTATTCATTTTTTTTTAACTACCGTTTGCCTTTTAGAAAAAAAATTCTCATAGCTCTATTGGACATTCTAAATTATTTTGTAAAGAATGTAAATTCTAACTCTATTATTCGCTTCTGCATTTAAATTATAAATTCATTTCCTTTAGGGTTTCTGATCTTTATACTACTAGTCTATTTTATTCCACTTTTATCTACGAGTTTATCCTCTTACGTATTCCGAAATATAAATTTCGTACTCTTGTGCTGTTTAGGATACGAGTTTATGTGTCATGGGTGGCTATATAATAAACAAAAAAAATATATACGTAAATTAATGTTGTTGAATGAAAAGAGTTATCGAGTATCGTGAGAAATAGTGTACGGACTTGGTACACAGGGTGAACCCTATCGTAGATGTTATCCTCAACTGTACGGGGTTGAGAAGTTCTATACCAAATGGGGTTAGGAGTTAATTAATTTCGCATATACCGAATGGAGTATTAAGACAGTCTTTAGTATGTGGTGCCCATTACTTGAAGGAGTATGGGGACCACCCATGATTTACAAAGGAAGTGTTTATCCACACGTAGCGGGGATCCCTATGGGCCCCTAGTGATACCGGTACAGAAAAAATAAATATGGTAAAACATGAATAAGTATGATAAGAAACCTAATTTTGGGCAAATGGTAAAGAACCCACGTTACATGTTTATTTGAATGTATGTTTGTTGTG